AGTTTAATAGAACTCAAACAAATGTAATTATAAGCGAATAAAAAATCACCCTTAGTTCTGACATATTGATAATTGTTTTATCGAGATATTCATGTTACATCATGTAACATGTCCAAATATGATCGACTGAGATACACATGATTTACCCATAACGATAGAGGAATTACAGGTAGTGTTTATCGTTATGCATCTATACTGTGGGCCTGGTAATAGTTAAATCCCTTATCTTAATTCTAGTCATAATGTTTCTTTTATAATAGACCAAACTCCCTTTCTAATGTTTGTATTGATATACACCCTATAAGAATGAGTCTGATATGTCTGTAAAGACACGTAAACGGCCACTTTTTACGTGTGTTTTACAGACATACGATCTCGCATATTTAAAAGGTTGTTTTACATACCGATACTCAATTACGTATTTATATGTCTGTAAAATACACGTAAAAGTGGCCGTGTCTTTTACAGACATATTATCTTTCCGTATTTTTTTACAGTTATATAAACAGTACCCGAAAAAAACGCTAGCCAGTTAAATTTGACGAAAAACACGTGATCTCTGATACCAATTACAGGAAGTGCAAATAATTACGATAACGATAACGATAATTACAATATAATATATAGAACTCAATTTATGTTAACATGTTCACCTATAACTGCATTTACATGTACGTACTACATATTAAAAAGAATATTTTACTATTTGTACACGAAATACATGTACGAGAAGTTACAAAAGCCTTTTTTTTATACGTTCTGTCTCATGTTACATGTACTCTTTATCTCATCATTTAATGTTAGCGTTAATGCATGTTGGTCGTTTTTCATGCATAAATCGGTACAACTTTCACACAAACAAATCATCATTTTTTAAATTTATATGACTAGCAGAAATAAAGGTATCGATAGTTTAATAAATGAATGCAACAGAATCTTTCGAATGAATCCCTTTTTGAAAGATTTACCAAAGCAAATTACAACCGAGTTTATAAACGAGGTAAAATGAACACCTTTAAGTGCAAGCATATCGCTTTTTTGTTTTTCAATATGATTAACTTTCTCAAATTAGATTCAGACTGCTCTAAACTATGATGATATTAATTATCATGGAATAACTAAAAATCCAGCTACAAATGAATACGCGATAGTGATGGATTATGCAGAAGATGGCGGTCTACGCAAATATATGGATTCCAACGAAATATTGACTTGGAAACAAAAATTAAAATATTTAAGTAATATTCTCTATGGTCTGCAAAGAATTTGTGCATCGTGATTTTCACCCTGGAAATATATTAAAGCAGTTTAAATTTGCTTACATTGCTGATTTTGGACTTACCAAACCAGCAGATATAGAACAATCCGTTCAAGAAATTTGTGGCGTACTTCCTTATATGAGTCCGGAGGTACTGAATGGAAGGCCATACACTAAGCTGCAGATATTTATGTGAACGAAGTCATGATCATTACGTATCTTGCATACGACATCTATAATGGAGTTCGATCTACAATACCAGAAAGTAACGTTCGATTTGGATATGCAACATCAACATAAATTTGTGGCGTTTTGTTATTGTATTGTTGACTGCAAATTTTTTTTTATTTCTTTTCTTCGACTTTTAAACATACATTGGCGAAATTTATTGGCTGTAAATATAACACACGCCGCCTCCAGTTGACCGACTTTGACGAGGGTAAATTGATAATTTTTATTGGGGTTTTGAGTGCCGTGCAAGTTGCAAGAAAAATGATCCTGATAATGGTCTCTTGCCGAATACAAGAGAAATAGGAAAAAAGAAAATTACTAGGGTCTGGAAGGATTGTCAACAAAAATCTTTGTAAAAATTTACCCGAAGTTCTTTAAGGTAATTTCATCCTTTATTTGAAAAAATTTGGCGTTTCAGCTTAACCTAATTCTAAAAATCACGAAATAGGTTCACGAGAAGAATATTAATGATTATGAACCAATTAACGTATTCTCCCAGACCTGGCTTTATGTAGAACAATATTCTAAAGTGCAAAAGCTTTTCAAAAACTGTGAACAAGCTCTGAAGGAAGTGTAGTCAAAATTTAATGTGTTAGTCTGGGGAAAGGTTGAGAGCTCGATGCCGTAAGGAATCGAGTGATATTGAGGCCCATATAGAGGGTGGGTAATGTATTAGTTAATGGTAAAAAAATTTATGTATATAAAGCAGAAATGAAAATAAAACGAATATCTAAAATTTTGTTTTAAAAATCAGGCGTCTGTGGCGACTATACATGTATTTCCAGGGGTGAAGATCACAATGCACGGATATAACGAAGATGACCGGATAATTAGTAAAAATTTTTGGAATCTTCGTTACGTTATACGTACTATACTTTTTAACTATTAAATTATCGAAAATTCAAACTTCGTTATACCGAGGTTTTAATTACACTTTGTTATAACTAGTTTTGACTGTAAATGCTACAATTCATTCTTTCGTGTTCGGAATAAATATATGTGCCTTGAATCATATAATGATTTCAACACAACAACAACATTGATTTTTTTATCTCGTTTAAATTCTTTTTTTTATGATCCCACTGTCTTTAATGGTCCATCCAAACCAGGTTGCTTTATAAATTATTGCAATACCTCCTTTTGCAAGATACTCGAATGTCCAGAGCAGTAATTATTTTTTTGACAATTGGTACATTCATTACAATTATGAAAGAAACTGGATATGCTTCAATTCTCTGAAATTTCAAATGGTATACATGTACTATTATGATCAGAATCTGATTTGCATCACAAAAGAAAAAATAATGAATTAAAGAAAAACTAAATACAATTTTACCTTGGTTTGGAACATATAAACTGACACTTGTAAAATCTAATTTTAATTAATGTGGGATTCTTTTTAGAAACAAAAAGTAACGTTATCATTTGGAATTGAAATTAATGTCGTAGTAAAAATTCGACTGGATTTTTTGTTTCTTGTTCATACTTGTAAGAAGTTCATCAATATCCTGCCTTTCTAGTTTAAGACGCTTCTTAACTTATTCGTGCGTCTGAGGATATTTCAAAGAGCTGTAGTACTGAAATGCAAGTACGTACTCGGTTTGCACTCGTTGTTATAGTCGATGAGAAGATCGAGTTTAAAAGTTCCGTAGCAGTTGGTCTGTTTCTGGAAAGATATTTATTATAACTTCGCTTACCAAATGGTCATTCACCTGTTACAACCTCATACATAACCATCCCAAAACTATCAATATCTGCAGCTTTAGTATATCGTTTTTTCATTTAGCACCTCTGGACTAATATAAGGAAGAACTCCATAATTTTCGTGATTTATTTCGGGTGAGTCACGATGCACTAATCTCTCTTCGTGAATTTCATTTAGCCCTGTAATAATAATAACTAAACATCTTAACGCTAATTTTTCGTTAATAATGATGTTTGCGAAGCTCATTTGTAACTGAATCTTAGTTATTCCATAATAGTTTATTTGGTCTTTTTTTTGTAGCTCTCACACTTTCGAGCTCAGAATCTATTTTTGAAAATCTTAAGGATATTAGCGTTAGCAAAAAAAGTAACGGTAACATGCTTACACTTTAGAAAATTGTCCATTTTTACCTTAAATGTTGAATTGTGTAATGATTTCAACACAACTTCTTTGTCTTCATTAGATCGTCTTAATTATTTTCTCCATTCCACCCATTGTACGTATATACACTACGCAACTACCAGGTTGCTTTATAAATTGTTCCAAACCTCATTTTGCAAGATACTCAACCTTTCAAAAAAAAGGATACACTCAAATTTAATCAAACTACATGTGTTAATTTCCGCGCATTCTTTTTATTAGATAGTCGATCTCTTTTATTTCGCTAGACCATTGAGTATTATAAATTCGTGATAAAACAACCAAATAATGTAGTACATGTACTGTAGAGCATAGTAAAAAATTCTGCAAATATCGAGAATTTATTACAAAAAGCTTGCGTAGACACGAATCATAGAAGTTTATACATCGATAGGGATGAGTTTCTGCAAGAACATTATTTTTTAATTGCAATAGATTTATAAGACAGATTGTAACCTAAATAACTATACAGGTTGGTTTCCTCTTTTGCCAGTATTTTTACTAATAGATTTATTGGCAGCACTCCATTCCAATGGATTCTAAAAACGAAAATTCATATAGTGAAAATTAAATATAAATTTTGGTTTAAATGAATTTTTGAATTTGCCACGCACCCGATCCTCATTCTCATCATTCTCATGCTTTATCTTTTCAATCTCTTGACGTGGTTCAATGGTCTTTGGATCATACGAAGCGCCCTTATGTGCTACTTCGTCTGTCGTTCCCGAAAAAGTTTCTTCATTTTTTTCGGGTGGTCGTAGATTATTCTTGTTATTGTTGTGGTTGGACTTTCCGGACGTGTCTTGATTATTCTTTATTCGGCGTATTCAGCGATAAGAATTATTGATTTTATATAATACCTTTGACTTATATAATACAAAAATTACCGGGATTCCATGCTGAATAATATTAGAAATTCGACGGTTCTGAATCAATGATCTATAAAAAAGTGTATTTCTGGTGATAATAACCATAACGATAATAACCTTTAAAAAATGTGGAAAAGCTTTTATATCTAAAGTTGGTGAACATAACACATGTACATGTATCATCATTGATACGTCATTTTGCTTGTTAACGTTAACGTTAATCCTATCAAAATATAATCTAACCTGCGCTCAATGATGATCAGCATTCAATGATTCAACAAAGATAGCGATAGTGCCACCAAAAATTTATTTTAATAAATAGACTGCAGGTATGTAACGGTAATATCCAAACAATTCACAATATCAAAATTTAAAAATGCCATCACCAAGACTTCTTCCCGAAATATTAATAGAGATATTAGGTTACTTGAAAATTCCATTATTTCTAGGACTCAAAGAACGACAACACATAAACTTGCAACCTCTCTATTCCTGTCTTTGCGTATCTAAACAATGGTACACTATTGTTGCGCCGCTATTATGGGATCAGCCATTCAGTTATATAGGTTATGAATCTGAAAAGGATAAATTACTGCTTGTTAACGTCTACCTTGAATTCATTTCTCAATTGGATCGCGAGAATATTGAGGCGACTGGAATCACATTTCCCAAAAATTTTCGACAACCATACCTTCATTATCCGTCATTTCTCAAGAATATGCATTACGGTGTTCTATTGGATGCCGTGCAATTGTGGTGTCAAAAAAATTCGGAGAAGACAATGAAACCATCGTCTGTTACAATGACTCTAGAAACTATATTGAAGTTATTTTCTAAGAGTGATGGAGTGTTGACGCACATGTCAGCTACTTTCGGACCAAGAAAGAAAGGAGTGTGCATGTATCCTGTATTGAAGGAAGCAGAAATTGCGGAATTGGTTAAATCGGTAAAATTTCTTTATATCGGAGGATGGGCCAAAAAAGCAGAACTTTTCGAAATGTTGGCAAATAATTGCCAAAATTTGGTATATAAATTCTTCTAGATTTGCTTGTAAATTTGAATTTCAAATATAATAATTAATACTTACCTTTGAATTTTATAGCAAGTCTTAAAAATCTCGATTATTCACGCTCCAACTGATTCCCACAGAACCAGTGAAATTACATGCAATAATTTAGCATCACTCATCCGTAATCAAAGGCACATTACCGAATTCGAGTTGGCCGATTGCCTTGATCACATCGATGCTGTGATGGAAGCATTAAGCATTCGGAGCGCAACTCTGACTAAATTATCTTTCAAAAAATGTTCCTTTAGTGGGTGTCGTAAATGGGAGGGATTCAGCAATTGCACAGGTCTAAAGTCATTCGTGATTTCAAGATGTTTCTTGGATAACGACGATGAAACCATATTTGATACAATTCCCTTTGAAAAACATATGCAGACTGACGCTGCTGGTAGTTTTAGTTCAATTTGAAAGAAATAAAGTAAGCTCATATTTTAAGCCCCCATAATACTTGTATTAGCAATTCATTATTTACAAATTTTCTAAATTTCGATTGAAAAATTGTATTTGTACAAGCATTTTTTTTATTAAATAAATTGCTGGTATAAATAAATTCTATAACTTTAGCAATTTCTCTTGGTCATTAAAAAATTTTTGGGGGTGATTTATATCAATATTATTCTTATATTTGTTTAATTATCTTTCCTGATCCCAGTTCATATTTATTAGCTAATTATACAATTTGTAAAAAATATATAACAGTACTTTCTAAATCATGAAAAAGAAGATAATAAATCAATTGAACAATAAGAGCTAATCAAAAAACAAAGCCAAGTCCTAAATCAATTATTGAAAGAATTTGATAATATTGTTACAGCGATTCTGAATAGTGGGTTTCACTGAGAATCACTACAAGCATACGATGTTGGGAGAGGGGCGATTAAACTTAAGTAAAGAGAATGAATTATAAATATTAGCAAAGGTTTCTAAGGCCTGTG